GATTCTCTACCTTTTTCCTGTTCTTCCATAACATATGCCTCCACTAGATTCCAAATCTCCAGACTCAGGCCTCTGAGATCTGCACTATAGATCTGCACTATTTACAGCAACTGACTTGCAGTGGTGGTTTGGGAACAACTACATTAGACTCTTAACTTTAAGATATAAATTTCTATGAGTTGAAATATTTTTTTTCATTTAAATATTTACAAAAGTTTATCTTGAGGGATATCAAGCAAATCTGTAATAGATTTTTGATGTTAAGCCTTTGGTCACAAACATAATCCGTAACCACAACAATGATTCTTTGGGCAAAGGCAATGTACACTTAAGAATTACTTTACAATGTGATTTCCAGAAATGAATTGTAAATAAGGAGACTGCCAGTGGGGATAAAAAAAATTTTTCTACTATCCATAGTAACATTTACTTACTACAAAGATAGCTGCAAAGACAACTTAGTACAGCTGATGCAGAAAGTCTGACCGGATAAGAGGATGCGGACATTCTACAAAATAGCCGGCTAGAGCCTCTAACCACAATCGAGGCCACTGGACATGAGGAAGGTCTAACAAACTGCCCAGACCAGAGAAAAGTAGGGAGATATGATGACTGTTGTGTCCTAGAGAGTATCTTGGAAAAGAAAAGTAACAGTAGTGGAAAAACTAGTGAAATCTTAAAAAAAAAAAAAAAAAGTCTGAATTTAGGTAACAGTAAAGTACCAATAACAAGTTCTTTGTGGTGATTATCAATTTGCCATGATCTACAGGTGTTCATAATGGGAGAAACTAGCTGATAGTATTTGAGAAATGTTTGTATTGTCTTTGCAGCTTTCTTGTACCTCTAAAATTAAAAATACATATTAAAGAATAAGTACATTAGCAAAGTAAATTGACCTTAAATTTCTAAGACTATGTGATAATTTATAGCCTGTTCATAATTCTTCTGTGATTTGAGAAGCAAAAGGAACACTACAAAATGAAAGCTCTCCTTTCCATGTGCTACATTTTCCAATTCTACCCTAACTTCCCTTTCTACCACCTCTTTACTCTAAGCTAGATCCGAGATCCCTGAGGTCAATGACCATACTATCTATCCCTGAGTAGAGATCAGGATAGGTAAATAATCTAATCTCAGTACTGACCTAATTTAGTTTTGTCTCTTATCACTGTCTCAATAAATCATCTACAAATGATTAAACACTTTTTTTTGCTGGATAATTCACAGTGCCAATCTGGAGCCTTGTAAAGCATTTTATCAAAAAGGAAAATATTATTATGTAATTGACAACAGTGGCAGCCCCTCATTACACAGCTGTCATGAATTCTCTATACCTCTGATGTGAATCAACTTGTTCAAAATACCAAGCTAACATCTATGCAAATTTTATTTTTCCTTTCTTTTTTGCAGTGGTGGGAAATGAACTCAGAGGCCACTGAGATATATTCCTAACACTTTTTATTTTTTCATTTTCTGAGACAGCCAGTGTCTTATTGTGTTGCTCAGGCTGACCTTGAACTTGTGATCCTCCTGCCTCAGCCTCCTGAGTAGTGGGATTAACAGGCGTGTACCAACTTGTCCAGCTATACTCAACTTTGAATGTTCTTGAGTCTTGCTTAGACACCCACATAAATATTTAGCCATATCCTTACACCTGAATGTTTCTGGTGTCAAGTCTGAAGAATAAACACAACATCCAGTAGCTGGCCAAGTTATTTAATAATGGTAAATTCAGAACACTTAGTATGACTATGTGAATATGTAAAGATGAAACTCATGCCCTTTTGAGAAACGGTTAATTAGTAAATACAAGGTAGCATTATCCAAGCACATACCTAGTTATCAGGTACTGTAATGCCTCATCAAATACAATATCTCATTTTAGTTCTGAGAATTCAGTTCCATCCAAATGACCAAAATATTTATGTGTCTATTTGATGCTGAAATAAAACTTTTAGAAAAACAGCTATGTTTTTCAGTTGAAGAGTAAAAGTTGAATTTGTGTAAAGGACAGCTAAGATGAACCTGATACAACGAGTCCCCTATTATCTGGCATGGTTGGAAAATGAGGTTAATCACATATTCTGGCTTATAGGGAGTTACCATAGAGACCATGCACATATTATCCATTTCCAAGAATAAAAGAAAGATAATATACACTCAAAACTGAAATGACACCGAATGTAATTTAATTTTCCTCTGATGAGTCAGACACACTTGATGATCCTGCAGTACCTCAGAATAATCATTGTGAACATCATCAATTATCTATGTACCCTATTTATATAGAAGTGCTAGTTAATGGAGCTTTTCCATTAGCAGAAATTTGAATAATACAAAGGTTTTCAGAACTTAAAAACACATGTAGGTTGAAATTGTTGCAAATTCAATATAATAACCTATCGCATTTGCAAATAGATCTGATCGACATAATGACAGTATTGATGGGGTTATGGAAGGACCAGGAAGGTGCATTTGGTCTTAAACTAGACAGGAAATTTTATTTTGCTTGTATATTAGAGTAAAATATTGCAAAATTCTAGTCACAGGAATCAAAATAATTTTGATGGAACTATTCTTATTCTCATATATATGGTTAAAAAGGGTAAAATGGTAAAAGTTTTAAATGATAAAAGTCTTAAATAAATGACAAAAGTCTTTTTTCTCTTCCCTTAAAACTTCATTAGCAGAGTTTTAATTATTTACAAACATTTTCAAGTTTCCCTGCTTATTATAATAGTTTTGTATTCTATAATTTTAGAGCAATGTTAGCTGAATACCAACCTTGTTTCATGGGTTCACAAAGCACACATAAAATGGTCTAAGAATTCCCATAGCTTAAAAAACAAACAAAACCTGGTTTCCAAGTATATTTGACTGTTTCATTTCCTTTTTTTTTTTTTTTTTTTCTGGTACTGGGGATTGAACCCAGGGGCATTCAACCACTGAGCCACATCCCCAGCTGTCCCACCCTTTTTAAAATGTATTACAGATTGGAATTTCAGGTGTGTGCCACCATGTCCAGCCGACCATTTCAATTTTAAAGACTACCTATTAGTATTTCACTGACACTCTAAACAATGTAAGAAATATTAGTCAAAAAAAAAAATAAGGAAAGCCAGTCTCAGTAACTCAGTGAGGCCCTAAGAAACTTAGCAAGACCCTATCTCAAAATAAAAAATGAAAAGGGCTGGGGATGTGGCTTAGTGGGTTCAACCCTGGCATCAAAAAAAAAAAATATTCCTTTCATTTTAAAAATTAATGATAAAGTCATTCCCAATTTTCATCTCAAAAAGGCATAAGATGTGGCTAAGGTGTGCATTATTACAATGTTCTTGAAATTTTACTAATGATGATCCATAACAGAAGGGTGACTGATCTTTAGAGAGCATAGAAATCTCTCTCATTCATTCACCACACCTAAATTTTGTGGAACTTAAATACTTAGTTCAACCTGGCATAATGTTTCCAAAAACCTCAGATTTTTCTATGTCTAATTTTCCTCCACCATTGGAAAAAAAAAAGACTTGAATTATTCTCTCTCTCTCTCTCTCTCTCTCTCTCTCTCTCTCTCTCTCTCTCACA